TTTTTTTAGGATTTTCCAAGGGTGACTCGGGAGGATAAATTGTGAAAATTACCACGGGGCGTGGTAACGATTTTTCCATGCTGGAATAATCTCAAACCATGCAGGATTTATTCACCCTATTGTTGTTCGATGGAAACAACGAAAGAATTAATTTACGAAATACGGCGGCAATTCAGGAATTTATTTGGTAAATTTCAATTTCCATTTCCTTACGCGATTATACCTTCCTTGCGTGTGCCCCAGGATAAGGCCTGACATTTTGTTTTTTCCTCTCTTTGCTAAGGGAGTTTCGTCGAGCGGAAAGTTCCGAAAAACGGAGAAAAAGAGGCCCGACCTGGTTTACAAGTTCCGGGATCGTTTCGGTAGAAAAATCGACCACGTCGGTTCGGGTGGACGGTTATCCTTAGGCCGATTTCCAAGGGGACTCTCCCAGGATAATCCCCCCGCGATTCCGGTCGCTCATATCGATCCCTCGATATTTTCCACCCCTGTACGCAGTTGACGTTCACCCTATTTCCCCGAACAACCCCCCGGAAAACGTGGCTGCGATCTATCAAGCCGTAACCACCCTACGCGCCGGAAAACCATTTTCTATCCTGCACGCGAGAATTATTCGCGACTCTCGATAATTAACCCGTAATTACCTCGATTCTAATCTTCCCTATTTTCTATATATTTCTTTTTTTAATAAAAACCTCGACAGGTTCCCTAGAAAATATTTCCCATTTTTTTTTTTCAATAAACCTTATAGTTTCTAATTAAATTTGAGATTTTCCATCCTGCACGCGAGAATTATTCCCGACTCTGGATAATTAACCCGTAATTACCTCGATTCTAATCTTCCCTATTTTCCACTTTTTTTTTTTTATTAAATCTCGACAGGTTCCCTGGAAATTAATTCCTTTTTTTTATCAGTTAACCTTGTAGTTTCTAATTAAATTAGAGAGAATTTTCGTGGGCAGAATTATTTTCAAGTTCCTTGGAAATGGGAGCGGGGCATCATTTGTCTTCGCAACGATACGTTGTTAATTTGTTGCTCTAATCTCTTTTGGGAGGGCGAATGGAGGTGAAATTTCGTGCTTCGTTTTCGAAATTTAACTCGACCTGGATTAATGGGATCGAGGGGAGGACGGGGGTGAAAGAAAGGAAAACCTCCGAGGCACTTTCGCCGAGCTGGGAGGGTTACTTTTCCCCTTAAGCCGACTCGCCCCAAGCGACAGAAGCTACTTTAGGTGTTGCCAAGGGCAACCGATAAAACTGTGGATTCGCATCTAATCTCCTTCCACGAACCTGTGGGACATTCCGAGGAATCGTCCTAGTTATTGGCTTCGACCATTAACCGATCCGAAAGTTAACGCCAGTCGGTCCATAACCTAAAAGAAAATGTTCATCACCTAGGTGACCTGCGTCCGAACTTCAGTATTCATTAAATTTTCCTCTGAATTTTTTCCTTCGATTAAGAAATCATTAAATTCACCTAAGTCCGCTCGTCCAAACCTTATAGTCGTTTTTATTTTCAATTACACTGCATCGTTTAAATCTGACGGAATTTTGTGACGACGCTAGGTGCATATTTCTTCATTAAACTATTTTAATTCCGTGGCCTTTTTAATATCGTCTAGTGGCTTGACAGTAAAAAGCCGTGGAATAATCGCATGCCGTGAAAGATTATTATTTTTTAATCGAGATGGTGCTTTTAGTTGGAAAAATCGCGAGATTTATCGTTGGATTTGTTAAGGGAGCAGTTTTTGTTGGTGCTTGACGTGGAAAGCGTGATATTGTTTATGTCAAAGTGAAGAAAACGTCCACGTAACTCCAGGGCTACCGTAAAAGCGCAAATCACGCTGGCGTACAAAATGGCGGCCGAGAACGCCGCTGGCGAACGGCAGGTGGCGCCACGAGTTGGAAGCCTCTCCCGAAGAAAGTTATTTTCGACATTTCCACGATTTTTCGTACCTACACCTATCGCGAATTTATCTCGGCACGATCTTGTAACCTCGACGGTTCTCAAAATATATAAACGATGCGGTAAATATTCATATTCGAAACACCTCCCGGGAATTTTTCACGTTCCCAACGTGCACTGTCAAGGTAAGCAACTACATAGAAAAAATATTTTGGTTGACTAAAAGAGACATCCATTGCTACGACAAAATCCTGCGATCAAATATGTCCAAAGAAACGTCTGCAAGAGTAAGGAAAGTTCGTTCAAGTCAACGATACAATTTTTCTTCTCAACGAAATAATTGTTTCTTGCAATGGTATATGATCTAAGAATTAATTGTTGTCAGTTTTTAAATTATTTGTCTTTATTATATCGATTATCGCAGGGTGGCTCTCTTGATTTGATCGATCTTCCTCTCCAGAGGAGAGATAGAGAGAAAAATGAATTCCATTGTATTCGCCGTAAAAATGTGGAAATCGTCAGGGTTGAATTTATCCGCGAATTGGTTGATGTTTTTTATTAATGCATAAATCTATGAATTCAAAAGAGATATTTCGTTCGGCGCGTGAGAAAGAGCGAGGAAAATCGAATTCGGTAGCCGACTTCGCGGCGTACAAAATGGCGGGGTCGGTCATCGTGGTCTCGGCAAAGAGGGGTGCAACCCCTGCCCCGAGCAGAGTCACCCTTCTCGAAAGAACTTTCCCCTCGACACGCGTTGCAGATTCACGAGGGTCGAGGGGAACTTCCGGGAAAAGTGCAGGGAAAAAGCGAACGGCCACTCTGGCGGGCGCCGCCATCTTGCGGCGGCGTCGAAGGAAGGAACCTTCCAAATTAACCGCCTTTTCCACGGACAAGGGAGAACTCTGCAAGACCGACTGCGACGTAAGAAAGGCCGCCGTCTTTGAAAAGTCTTACAAGAACATTACACGGCTGTACGCGAGAGAGGTCGCCACGGGCGCGAAATTGAAACAATTCACTTGCAAATGCAACTACTCTTGCAAGACGCTCGCAGCAAATTCAGTCACGGCGTAGAAAATTCCAAAAGACAAATGGTAAATTAAAGTTAACAATTTAGTAATTTATTAATATCACGTACATGCATAGCTTTTAATTTCTGATAACGGTATAATATTACAACATTAATAATTTGTTCCGCGGAAAGGAAGCGGAGACATCGATGCCTTTTTGTCATGGCGTCCGGTTATTATCTGCCATACTTGGCTGGGGTTCTCTGGTGGATTGTTTATAACTTAAAAATACATAATACCTTTTTAAGATTCGCCAAGGAAGAACCCGGAAATTGTGAGGACATTAAACGAAATGATAGATGCGTTTCGAAAGAGGTCACGGGCGAAAGTTTGAGGTCCTGCCGGAAAGTGAAAGCCAAGGATTAAATCGTACTCGAACGCCATAACAACACTCCCGTTCCTTCTGCAACCATAAACGGTATTATAAATCGAGAATGAACTAAAATAAAATAACGCAACTACATTCTACATAACATCGCACATTAATTATACAACAATCATAAGATCTTCGATTTTTCCCTGCTAATTTAGTATCTCACATTAAAACCATTCCTTTTTGAAAAATGAAAAGCGTTTTTGGTTGTTTTTACGGATGGAAAATGTTTAAGTCAAGTAGGGCATCGTTAAATTAGCGAAAATCTGAGATTCTGGGTCTGGTTTTTATGGCCACTCTCTGTGAACCCGACCGCAGTCGCTTTACTTCCTTTTGCTACTAATTACTCCTTGATTACAAATTTGTCCAGCTGAAAGTGAACGGAAAATGGCGCCTCGGGGTTTGGGCCATCCAGATAAACTCGATATATCAAGTCGACGATCTGGAATACCTACGTGCTGGCAGGAGTGCAATCAAGCTTTTAAATTGCACCAGACGAGTTCCTGCATATTTATTGCACCGCAATGAACTCCCGTGACAACCTACATTCGAGTGCATTCGAGTGCATTCGAGTTCCTTTGAGACCTGACCAAGTGTATCGCAATGTCCAGCCGGACTCGTGGAAAAGTCTGATAACAAGTGACGTTGCTCTCAATAATATTTTACGTGTATTCCTTTCGTTGAAACCCCGGTTATATAATGTACCCTGGTATTCTCGGCGTATGTTTTGTGCGTTTCCATTTGCGTAGGTGGACTGGTCTGGTCGGTTCGATAATGGACTGAAATATATCGCTAGGCTCGTTTGAAAATCAGGACGATGAGTCTTCGTCTACCTGTCAGTCTATCGTGACATCCTGATTTACTTTCCCCCGTTATAACGAGTCTCCATCTAAATTAGCCGTTTCATAAAAAGCTAAGAAAAGCGTAAACCCAATCCGTAATGGTATATAAATCAAACATGAAATATTGAGGCTCAAAGAATTCATTATTAATTGTGAAATAAATTCTCCAAGAGGTAACCGGGGTTTTAAGTCTCGATAATCCCAGTCCGAGTACCCTGACGTGCATGATCCAGCCTCTGTTTAAGTCTTAATGACAGTTTTCCAGTATTGTATTGCATTTGCATGGCATTACCAGCCGCAATGTTAAGGTTAAATTCCCACGCTCGCCGCAGGACCGAGTAGAGGGAAGAAGTATGTATGAAGTATGTAGACAAGTCAAAAGTTGTATAACCACACGATGATAGGTCTATCGAGGGATAGGTCTTCTTAAGGAAATTCTTCCCTTATCCTAGGAAATTATACCGAGACAATGCCATTCCATAAGTTTCCTCGTGTGAAGGAAATAGGAAATCCGGGAAACCAGTCTTTTTTCCTTATCTCAGAGATGTCGGATTTTTTTAGTTCTTCAGTGCGTAATTTCCCGGTTTGCGGCATCAAAGGCAGCTTTATGATCTACACTTACGTACCGATTACGGGAATAACGCGTAATCGGACTCGATCGACCTTGGATTTAAGCTCCGCGATCGTCACCGCGCAGCTGCTCGAAAAAGGGCAAATAATCTCAGAAAAACCCCACCGATCGAGGTTTTCTGATAAGAGAGGCTGTCTTGCTTCCGATCGTACCTCCAAACGCGATCCCCATCATCGAATTGATTGTCTGACCTCTCTCGTACCGCAGTCGCTGCTTCACCTTCGAGAGGTGAACACGCCTCGGCTGGTCCCGCCGTTCTCCACCTGGAGAACCGAATTCTCGACCGAACCTCGGATTGCCGGATTTTAAAAAGCAGAGCCAAACCTCGAGACATCCAATCCGAACCATTAATTCGCTTCCGTATTCGCATTAATTATGCGGCTCCATTTAATCTGCTTTTCGACACTTTTCGCCATTTTGGTACCGAGTTGTCGAGCGACTGCCACGCCGGTCGTGCAGATAAAAAATGGCACCTTGGAGGGCACCTACATGGTCACCAGGAGGGGTAGACAGTTTTCTGCTTTTCGGGGCATCCCTTATGCTTTGCCACCCCTGAGGGAATTGCGGTTCGAGGTAAGCTTGAAACGAAATGGGGAGTTCATTTTGAAAGCATCTTTTCCTCGGTGGGTCATTCAGGCGATAATTTATATTTTTTTTTTCCGTTGGCTAATCTTTTTTTTCTCCGCATGGAAAATTTCCTTCCCTTTTTGGGACGTGTTTTTTTTTCTTTAGGACGCGTCTTTTCGGCATGAGTCGGTCCTCAGGTGATTTTTAGAGGTGCCACGTGAAGACGGTCGCTTTCACCAAGGTTACACGTGGAATTTAACGGATATTTCCTGAAAGGTTGTTAGGTGCGTGTACTTGTTGGCCTTTTTCTAAGTCGCAGGGAAAAGCCGACAATGAATTATTATCTAGACTTTGTTGCTGGCACGCTATTTTTACACCTTTCGATGACTTAAGGCCGTAAATCGCAATCCGTTGCGTAATAGCTGTAAACTTCGACATATACAGGGATGCTCTTCCCCGGTCATTACGAGGGAAACTAATGGCTGTAATTTACAGTACACATTAACCAGTTACGAGGTTCTCAAGACCGGCCGGGTTTTTTCTTTTCTTCCGACTGCGAGTAACGTATCTCGAATTCGAACGTAAAGAGGCGTGAAGGAAAAAAGAGGCCATGAGGAGTCTTCTTCCAGTCTGAATTGTATAATTTTTTACCACTTTATTCCATCAGCGCGTAATAAGTACGATTTGTAAAGCGCTTAATTTTAATCTAAAGTAGATTATTAAATTCCTTTCGGAGTCAAATCATTATTTTTAATTAATCATTTGTTTTTCTTTTGTTGCGCAGCCACCGAAACCGGCGGCGTCTTGGAGTGGAGTGCGTTCTGCAAAAGAGGACGCAGAGATCTGCACGCAACGCAACATTTACACGCACCAGGAGGAGGTGGTGGGTGATGAAGATTGCTTGTATCTTAATGTTCATACCCCAAAATTACCAAATGAAAGCGAAGATGGTTTCCTGCGGTATCCAGTCATGATTTGGTTCCATGGAGGTGGATGGATCACAGGAGCTGGACACTCGGAATTCTATGGGCCTAAATTTCTCCTTGACCATGACGTGGTCCTCGTCACTGTGAACTTCAGGTGAAAAATTAACGATAAACGTAGCTTAAACTTGTAGTGAAAATTTCAGAGAGAATATTTTATGAATATTTCATTAAGGGACTTTAGTTCGTACGATCATTTTATTTCTTTGGACGTCAAGTCGCATTCTATGGGGTTTTTTTCTTATAAATATGGAATTTTTGCGCAGGCTTGGACCTCTTGGATTTTTGAGCACCGAGGATCTGGTGTCTCCTGGAAATCAAGGAATGAAGGACCAAGCACAATCCATTCGCTGGGTCCACGAAAATATAGTGGCCTTTGGGGGAGATCCAAACAGGGTCACCCTTTTTGGGGAAAGTGCAGGAGGCGTCAGTGTGCATTATCACATGATGAGTCCACTTTCCAAGGGTAAATTAATACCTCCTTAATTAATATTAATACCACAACGCACTGCATCACGTAAAGCATTTGCATACACGAGTCATCGATAAGCAAGTCCCACTTCCTCGTTAATCAAGACTCCTCTATCAGGAAGGATTTACCGACTCCTTCGACATGCGATAAAGACAATTTCTGTGAAAAAAGTCTGCTTTAATATTCCACTGTCATAGACGGAAATGCAGGAATAAATTAAAACATTGGGAGCGTGCGAGATGTATTTAAGCGAATTCAACGTCGACACGGATAGTCGGAAACTTTGAAATTCAATGTGCATTAATAGTCCCTAGGATCAGATTTAGATCGGATCTAGATTAATCACCGATGGGACGTTTCCTGCACGGTAGAATAATTTTCCAATCAACCGATTGCATCCATCAGAGATTCACGAGATTCTCGAGCATGAGGTAGGAGGAAAAACGAGGCTCCGTTTTTCCTGGCATTGCGTAAAAAAAGAAAAACATGAGTCGGTGTTGTCTAATTACAGTGTAGATATATCTACACGTGCCCTGTACCGATCGCTATCGATCTTTCGCAACCTGTTTGGCGATGGATCATTTATTATGCATCTTGGCTGCTCTACGGTTGACAGTAATTGTTTCATGCTCGCAGGGTTATTTCACCGAGGAATTTCACAAAGTGGGACTGCACTATGTCCATGGGGACTTACCAGGCCAGGACTTGCCAGGAAACAGGCGAATCGTCTCGGTGATGTTTTGCAATGTCCTGTACACGACTCGAAGGATCTCTTGGACTGCCTGCGGAAAAAGGACGCGGTGGACATAATCGCCACTGATCGATCATTTCAGGTATGCGATTTACCGGCAGCTAGTGCGAATAAAAAATTCCCCCTAGAGTGAGTAACCTCATTTTTTTTTTTTCCCGTACATTCCATGTTCATTAATACCCGAGTTATTACGTTTTCCAGCATTGCGCAATATCCTCGCATTCGTGTTATGCGTGTGGACCTTCGATCGACTTGTATATAAATTCGCGGACCTAAGGATTCAAGAATTAATCTCTTTAAAATGGAACTAAATAACGCGTACTAATCAATCATGTATTTTTCATCGCCGTTAATCACTTCTTGCCGATATCCCATTTTTATTTCAACGTGGGATAAACTCCGATGATGATTTCAGTAATGGTCTAACCATTTTCTATATATATATTTTTTTTTTCACACAGACCGAACCACGGGTTAATTAATAATGTATTCTCCGCCGCCTTTCCATTTTCATTTAGGCGTGCAATTATCGCCAAAGAAAATTCCCATTTTTATTTCAACGTGGGATAAACTCCGATGATGATTTCAGTAATGGTCTAACCATTTTCTATATATATATTTTTTTTTTCACACAGACCGAACCACGGGTTAATTAATAATGTATTCTCCGCCGCCTTTCCATTTTCATTTAGGCGTGCAATTATCGCCAAACAAAATTCGTCCTGGAATTCTCTAAAGCACCTGAGTACTTATGTTTAACTTGGAGCGAAAAGAAATGTTTTTCGAGATAGACCGAAGGTATTTCACGTCCCCTGACACGCAATCCATCTTCTTTCGCATTTTAAATCGTAAGTGTCTACTTTGCGCCACCGAAGGATGTCAATTAGTGCCACTTTCGTGCATTCGACCGAGAAATACCTTTATGCACCGCTGCAATTGCATCAGGTGTCCAATTACCAGCACTTACGACCCATCAGATTTGTCCAGTCTCGCGATCGGATTTGTCCATCGGTCGGTGCATAGGAAAGTGACCAGTCCTTGAACGATCAACAGTAATTTTCGTCGATGCCTTCCTTTCCATCGAGCACGATGCACGTTATAATAAACCAAGACTTTCAAACCTTTCCTAATAGTCCTCAATCCGCAATTATTGATTACCCGTCTGGTACAAAATATGTTACGGAATGAAATCTTGGGAATGGAATTTCTGGATTCTGCTTCACCATAAAACGAATGACACGTGTATGCCATTTTTTCACCACTTCTGGTGCCGATACTTGTATCGATAGGTACTATTTTAACGCAATGATTTCACGCTCTGATTGCTGGACCTTGTCGGTGCAATAACGTTCTAGGTACCGAATAATTTTGATCGTGATAATCAGTGACTATTGACCTAATGAGCGCCTATATTTCTGGCCGATAAGGTGTTTCCAAGGCTCATTATCAGTTCTAACGACGCGTTGTATTTTGCAACTCCCTCAGTTGGTAGCTTTCGTTTCCAAATCATTTTCCTCGTGCCTCGGTATTGGAATATCCCAACGGAATATTAATTTCACTCACCAGGTCGTAGTGGACGGCGTCTCGGTAGAGTAAACAAGTTTTGAAAGCACTTAAACCTGTTCAAATCGCACTCGCAGGTATTACATGCCCCACGTCCGTGGATTTGCATTTGATTTGGTTTCCAGATTGCCCGCCGCGGTTGGCGTAATTTAATCAACTGGTAATCGCACCAGTTCGATGATTACCCTAAAGTCGACGAAGGCGAGAAGATTCCTCCACCTGTATAGGACATCTTAAAAAATCTGCCTTTATTCCAGGTGTACGATTACTGTCCGATGATACCATTCAGGCCGGTGGTGGAGCCATTTCATCCAGGGGCGTTTCTTACGGAGGATCCGGCGATCTCGTTAAAAAGTGGACGAGTGGCGGACATACCATGGATGACAGGAGTTACGCCCAATGAAGGGGCCATTAAAGCAGCCTGTAAAGTCACTCGCTAATTCATTATCGATTTCACATCGAATTCCTTGTTACCTTGCCTTAAAAAAGACGTCATTTCCCACAGCTATCTACGGTCTCAACAACGGGGAATTCCTCAGGCAGCTCGATAAGGACTTCGAGAAGATCGCGCCGTTGAGTCTGCTTTACGAGGACACTTGTCCAGAGCATTTAAGGCAGAACGTGACGCAAAGAATTAGGGAATTCTACTTCGGCGACCACCCCATCGACGAGTCGACCAGATTCAACGTCATCCACGTAAGAGCTTACTTCGTCCTGGAGCCAGGATTTATTTCGAGAGTCCTTGGTCCATCTTCTTCGACGCGTCTTCTTGCAGATGTACACGGACGCCTGGTTCTTCATCGCTGCTGACAATGCGGTCAGGGAACACCTTCAGAATTTGGGCACTTCGGTTTATTACTACCTCTTTGCGTACAGAGGTTCGGCTTCCTTCAGCAGGATATTCGGGGACGAGGAGAAGGATTATGGAGTCTCCCATGCCGATGATCTTCAGTATTTGTTCCCTGTTGGTGAACAGCTCTTCCAGGACACCCCATTAAATGACGAGGACCACAGGATGGTGGACATCGCCACGAGTTTGTGGTTCAATTTTGCCAAGTCTGGGTAGGCGATGAATTCCTTCGGCGAGCTAACTCCTTTTTTCGTCAAATTTTTCCAAGGATTATTTACGGTGATTTGTTTTTTTATTTAATCAGGAACCCAACGCCGGAAGTTACGGAAGAAGTGCCTGTGAAGTGGATGCCGGTCAGGACGCAGGCTTTGGAGTTCCTTCATATCGGTGGTCCCAAAGACATCTACATGGCCTACAATCTTTATCCTGAAAGGGTTCATCTTTGGTCCCAATTACCTGTGCGACCTGATCTGGCTCAGGTTCAGCATGGACGAGGAATTAGGGATGAACTGTGAAACTGAAATTCATTATTCCGTAACGCTTAAGGTCTCACGATTTATAACTACGGGTCGACGTCCTGCAGACCTAGTTAATGGCATTATCGAGCGTGATCCTTGATCCTTTGGGAGTATTGGATCCATCGAAACGAAAACGATTTGCGAGCGCCATCACTAACGTACCTTACAAGTGGGATATCGAAGCAGAGAGTGGAGATATAAATTTTTATTACTGTTGCGAAACGGATTTATCGCACGCATTCGCTCCTCGTTCGATTTACAGAGACGGTTACAAGAAGTTGTCGCGATAAAATGCGGAATGGCTCATTTCTTTTTGCTTCCCTTCGACGAAGGTTTCGAACGCTGGGTCGTGGAAATTGGTGGCGTTGCCGGTAAAGGCGTAGTCATTTTTAATGCCATACACGCTACGGAGTAGTCTCCGCCATTTTGGTGCTCAAAGGGTTTGTCGCCTCTAGAGATCTCGTACTTCCTGTAAGGGATCTCTGCCAAAGTGTCGAATCCTAAACTTCTTGCTGGAAATTAATGAAAGACTCGTCAGTGATTCTATGTCAAGGTGATATAAAAGGATGCAAATTGGATTGCCACGAGAATAAGGTCCTGACGTCCAAGAAGTTTCATTTTGTTAATATCGCCTTGATATCTCGTAGTAGTATCTAGGAGACTTTTGAAATAAAAAAGAAAAGAGAATTCTTTCTCCTAAAATTAGGACATTACCTATGGTCTGGCTTGCTCCCGAGCTGAACCCTCCAATACAAGCAGGAATGAGAAATTCTCTAGTCCTTGTCACACAGGACCTTATCAGAGCGGTACCGACTCCTCTTCCTTGATGAAGAGGCTCCACACAAACAGCGTGTATCCTCAAGTACTTATCGATATGCAAATTTTCGTAGATATTGGCCTCCTTGAAGAGGCAGCTCTTCAGGTTCATCACTCGAAAAAGAGCCTGACCTTGGTGGGGCTGCGAAATTAATGAATAATGAAATTCTTTCCTTGAATGGAGTTATAGAATCTGTAGCATAAAATCAAAAGGTATAGTCTTCGCTCAAAAATGCCGAATGTTTAATTTTGATAATCCGCCGATAGACAAATCCTTGAAGCTTTCTCACCCTGACTCGTGTCTCGGTTCTCTGCTGATCACCTTTCAGGTTTAACGAAGCCACAGCTACTCCTACCAGTTCGCCTGTACCTTCTCGAATTGCACATACGCTCTTCAGGTCCGCCATTTTGGTCACGAGTATGTGCAAGTACGATTCCACCGATGTAATGTCAGTGTGCAACTTTGTGGACTTGCACATGGGTTCCGATCTGAAGAATTCTCTCTGAAAATTGCGTAATTCCTTCTTGGCGCATTTCTTGCACCTTTAAGGGGATGCGAAAGTGACAGAGACAATCTTTCATGAATCATTTCTCCGAGCTGAGTGCACCGAATCTTTTAATTTCCAAAATTCAGTTTTTTAATTCGTTTTAAAAATTGAAAATTCACGGGTGTCAGGACTTTCTTGTGGCCTCTATATTTATTTCGTAAAGTTTGATACTATTCGGTGTAAAGATCCAATTCGGAGGAAAGTTTCATAAATCAGACCTCTTCGATGCCAGTTTCATGTCGCCTTAAGGGAGGACACTTTTTTTTTTTAATTCGACTTGGGGATAGAATTTTGGGTAGAGTACCTGAATTAACTGCAAAGCCTCCTCGATGTTGTCTGATCCTAAATCGATAACCCTGTAGCCATTGAATGTCCTTTCCCAGCAAATTGGAGCATCATCCTTTCGCGCGTCGATGTTCGGTCGATCTCTCAAAAAAGTGGAAACGTCGACCTCGGCACCGTTGTTTTTGTTCGCCGTTTTCTTGATCGCCCCGGTTTTGGCATTGCCCTCCATCCTGTAAAATACGTCACAGGGCGTAATGAGAAATTAAGGAACCATCGTCCTCTCAATGAGGTTATTCCTAGATAAATAGCGTCCGACAGTCGAAAGACAATGGAGCGACGTTCGACTTCAGAATGATCAAAATCGTATTCTTACCCTGTCTTATCAACGTCATTAAAAATTTCTGTTAACCTATTTCATTGACAATACCATTAATTACTTGAATATAATTTCTAGCTTCCTAGAATCGTTTAAAAGTAGAAGTAGAAGATGGACATTCGGGCTCGGATAAACGCTCCTCTTGAGTGGGACTCGCCGCCATATTGCAAGATTCAAGACCTCAACGAAGAGTATTTCGAGGAGGCGATTCGTCTGATAAAAGTTTAGCTATAATAACGTTAACGCAGTCGATATCTGTGCATTCCTTGGAATTCATTTTCGCAGCGTTATCACTTGAAATTGGAGCCGATGTGCAAGGCGTCCTACATGCTGGAAGATCAAGATTCGGTGAAGAGCTATTTGCACCTGATAAGAGTCTGGTTGAAAGATACGACAAGTCTGGTGGCTCTCAGTACACGTACTGGTCGGGTCATAGGTGCAATTGTTGCAAGGGTCATTAATTCAGAGGACAAAGCGGACACTTACGACAGAGTGCAAGTAGGAATAAATGGAATAAACTTGGGATTTTTACTTTACCTTGCGCACTAATAGTTTATTTATTTCGTAGACGGTTTTAACAATGTATGGGCTAAGAGCGAACGATTAATTATCTAAATCATTACGGAATTATTAATGTAATTATTATAACTCAGATCCTTCGAGGGGAGGCACTAGAGATGGTAATGCATTTAATGAGCGCTTTGCTGAACCAGGCTCGCGTGCACGATTATTATAATTGCACGAAGATATACCGTGTAAATGTTATCTGCGTCCATCCATCCTACCAACAAAAAGGGCTGATTACGTCCCTGTTAGAGGCGTGCGTACAAGTGGCGGTTTCCATGCAAGTTCCGGTACTCGCAGGTTTCTTCACTTCCGGAGCGAGCCAATCCATCGGGCACAATTTGGGCTTTGAAATCTTGTCCGAGATCCGCTACAGCAGGTGGATCGTTGACGATGAAATTGTTTTCGACGACCCTGGCATTGGGAATTATTCCGCCGCCTTTATGGCGATGCGAACCCCCACCGATAATGAATTGCAAGAGTACAGGCGAATTAAACAACACTTGCAGAAGCAGCAAAGGAAAGTAAAGAAACGACGGTGACGCCTGAATTCTTTTTAAATATATAAAAATAGACTGTCCTCGTGAACTGTAACTTACCTTAAAATATTAAAATTAAAAATATTCACCCCAAGAAAACCTGTAAAATTACACAGAATGTATATAAAAGTGATATGCATGTACCAATTGCAGGAGTCTGTTTCGAGAAAATTATTTTATCGATGGTAGAAAAGATGGCGTCCTTCATTAGCGAGGACGTCATTTTGTTTCCGAGGGAACTCTTACCGTCCGAGATTTTTATCGACCATGTTAGGTTTTTCTTTAGCTGTGTCCAACTCTCATGGCAAAACTTACCGACGAGAAGAGTTCAGCCTCTTAGTTAAACCGTCCGTTGGGAGATGGCGCCACTATCGTCGGATCATGTGGCAGATTTCGCGAAACGAACGAGAGACGGTTACGGTAAGTCCGAAGAGAGCCACGACGTGGTTTTGCAACGAAAGTTACTTAACATTTTAGATAAGTAGAACCGTCATCTTAACTTTTCATTTTAGGTGCTGGGTACACTCGGACGACGGCTGGATACAAAAGTGAGTAATTTAATCCTAGTGTAAGTAATACCGACGGGAATGTTTCAGGGCAACAAAGGAGGCTTACAGTAAAGTGTACTGTACTTTCAAGAGGCAATGGTTTTGCAGATGGACTCGCGTCTGGACGAAAAGACTGAATGGGAGCTTGTAGACGCCAACCAATAAACTATGATGAAGTCAGACCGTGAGTCATTCGCGACTCGATTCGACTGATTTATTTCAATTTGTGCCAGTCAGAGGGCACAGAGGCAACTGGTCTCGAGTTGTCCGTTGCCAGAAAAATCTCGAGATTGGGCCGAGCAACGAGCTGCATAATTCTTTCGCCCCCCAAACGACTGTATAACCTTCTGACTCAACATCCTCTCGTCTCCACTGGATGGACACCCTGACTCTCTTCAAATGGGCCATTTAATATTTACTTCAACGTACAAATTTATTACAAAATTCTAAATAAATGTATAAACGCGTGGGAAAATTAAAATGTATCCGTGTACTAAGTTTGTATAACTTGTATACAAAATATCTAAATAAAATGCTATCTAAATCGTACCCCAGGCCTGAATTGAAATTCCAAAAAAGATGTAACTATTTGAATTTTGGTGATGGTCGAAGGTGGAGCTAACAAGTTTTTGAAATTAACTATTGGTCTTAATTCGAGGGAAGCTGGGCATCTCGGAACGAGTCCTTCGGCCTTCTGGCGAAGGTTCCTCCTTTGTTCTCGAATGCATCGGCCAACTTCCCACGACAAAAGCACCCGGCAGGGAGTAAAGTTACGAACGCGTGTCCCTGATGTTTTACGAGCACGTCCCATTTTTCTTTGTTCCTTTTTTATTATTATTTTTTTTTTTAATACATCCAAATCGAGCCTGCGAAACAGGCCAGCCTGGGAGAAGCTCAGGGCATATGTGTGTCACGGGAACATGACGTGAGCTTTTCAGTAGGCAAAACGAGCAAACCGGCCAAGTTTTCATCTCGGATTCACACGATCGACTTATGTCGCCTAACTCGTTACGTCAGATCTCTTCCTTCTGGGTTTGGTTTTCGCACGCCTATAATCGCGCCTTAACGACCACGTACTCCCGTCATCAATTACGAGGTTGTGGAAGGTCAGGTGCTGCCTCCTATAAGATCCTCATCGTGCCAAATGTCCAATTCAAGTTCTTTTCGTCCAAAAAACAACAATCCCCCACGGCCAATTTCATCCACCCTATTCAGTAAATCTTGATTTTGAGTCGCCATTTAAATTGCCACCATTCAGTCCTTAACGAGATGCAAGAAGGTCATTCCATATACACGAAACATACAGATATTTATATTTCTCCAAACTGCTCCCCCAAAATGGCGACTTATAAAAAGCAATTAAGTGCACATTGCTATTTTTTTAAAAGGATGCTTTAGACTTAGCCGACACTTCCTAGATAAAATTTCACGGGATCGATTTTACCTAAGAGGGAAGTCGCGCACGCGTGGCGGGCCACTCGAGCACGTGGCCGAGCTGTCACCTGTAACCACGTGGTCGCGACCACGTGGTGCGCTCTATACAAGAAAAATGAAAACAGCGCCCTGTAAAATTCTCAAAAAATCGTCGTTTCCGAGATTCTTTCACTTCGCCCACCGTTTCGACTCCGCGAAACGCTCCGCTTGATTTAAGGCCGCCGTGAAATCCGATTCTCGCGGGATTTTTCCCAGGAAAAAAAAAATGAAATCATTGACGGTGGCTAAATGCAGAGATGGCCTCGTCGCCGTTCCGATTTCGGAGCCGAGCCCAGATGTATCTCGTTTGACGAGAGGCGTAAAAAGTCCCGGGCTAAACGCAAAATGGCGATCACCAAGCGGGAGGAACTGTTAAAAAAAAAATATAAAATGGCGTTTCCACATGTCGCGGCTGGCGGAATCGGTCGGTAAGGCAGCCTAGCAACAGATTCCGCTGCGGATGCGGTGGCGGATTTTTTGCGGCGTCCCCTTGCTCCCGAATATCCTTTCCTGGCTTATCTCGGTTGGCCGAAAATGTGCACCGACTAATCTGGTGATAACGATGAGATAACCGATTCGCAATAAATTCCCTCCGTGATTCATTAATAAACCACGTTTATATGAAACCTGTTAATTAGGTCAGAGTTTCTGCAGATTTCGAGAAAGTCATTCCGGGAATGCCGTCACTTCCTCAATCGAAACAGGACAATTTATTATCGGTCGATAACACCTCTCGATCACATTTTACAAATTAGGCCATTCCACAAGTACGTGCCGAATTTTTCGTACGTAAAGAAACTTATTTAAAAAAAAAAAAATCTAAATTCAACATTCTCAATAAATATCATATTCTTCCTCAGGGAATCGGAATTATTTCAAGAAAGGTATTCGTCGTCGCGATAAGTTCACGGCCGCGCCTATCGCGAGTCCTGCGACTAAGGGCCGAGTGGGTTGCAGAGGGGGGAAGGGGGGGGGGAACTCGCGAAGGAAGAATAAAGGAGCGAGATGGAGAGCGAGCGATACGAGGGCCCGAGAGGGGCGAGGGGCCTTCGAGTCGGGGAGTGGGGGGAAGCGCGGGTCCGGGATGCGGGTAGGCCCCCCTCCCCCGGCCGACCGGGAACCCGGGGCTTTTGAAAACGTTTGTATCTCGTCGGCGCACTCCAGATCCCTCGCGTGGCATTCAGTCCTGAAAGGTTCGCAAGAATAATCCGTGTAAATGATTCCGGCCCCTTCGGGAGATGCGGATCTCCCTCTGGAACGATCCCCATTCATCGGGGGGAGGGGACCGGGGGGAATAAACATCGGCATCTCTGCCGAGCGCGTAGGAAGCCCTCTCGCGAATAGACGCGAAAGTCGCATCCTGCCGCGCGGAGGAGCGAGGGAGGGGAGAGGGGAGAGCGGGTGGATGCGGGCGAAGAGGAGGGGGGCCGCGAAAGAGCGCGCCAGCGGGGGAGGGGAGGGACTCGGCCGAACCGGCGCGATTGTGGTGGGGGTAGTGCTCGCGGGAGGGGCTCGAGTAACGGAATAAGAGGAGAGGGAAAACCACGGGGCTTTTGAAAAAGTTTTATCTTGCCGGCGCGCTCGGCCTCTCAGACGCTACCGAACGCCGGTGCGGTGTGTACGGCCTGGTCGAGACGTCCCGACGCGTCCGTCCCAGTCCGACCTCTCGCCGCGGTCGCCGGTCGCTCGTTCCAGGGGACGCGCGCGCAGCCCTTCGCGCCCTGCCCTACGCCGCCCGCATCTTTCCGTTAGGCCGGCGCCCCTATTCGCTCGCGATACCCCGCTCCAGCGGAAGGAAACTGCCGGGGCACGGCGAGATGCGACGGGCTCGCTCCTGAACCCGCGCGTCACCCTGCCGACGCGGGAAAGGGCGCCCTTGGTGCCGGATTTTGAAACGCCGCTCCTGGAGAGGAACATCATGCACGGGATGTGGAAGATCGTCGCCCTCTGGCTCGCCGTTGCCCTCGTCGTCTACGCGCGTGCCGACGAGGTGAGTTTTTGACACCTTTTTCCGTTCGGGGATTTGCGAGGTTTGGACACCTGTCCCCTTGGGGAACCGCCTTTTACCTCGGACTAGATAACGGAATGCTGATAGCATTGCCGGGCCTTTGGACTTTTTCGCGACCGTTGGCTCGGCTGAAAATAACGAAAGACAAGTATCTCTTGATCTCATCGATGATCGTACCCCTCCCTCCGCGATTTTGGGTGAACTTTTGTTCGATCTCGATTAATTTCAAATTATCGATCCGAATATGCCATCTATGAGGATGATGATGTGTAAGGTCATGTTGCGCCGTCATTTGGTCCTGGGTAGACACAATGGACGCGACTCGGGTTGGTTTGCCTCCAGGGTGTCGGCACAGTTTGTATGTACATAAAAGTCGAGTCTACGCACTTTTCAAAGTGTTCGCGAGGAACGGCGTTTTTTTCTCGCCCTTCGATCGTTAAGATCTCTCGGTGTGCCAAAGATCACTGCCGTTCCACAAGGCGAGCCTCTACGATCGTTAAATAATAAGCGATCCTCGCCAAGGTGAGAAAAAAAAAAGCGCGTATTTGGAATGACCGAGACGTATCGATTCTCTTGTATTACATGAGAAGTTAGGTAATGAAATTTTAAGAGTATTTTTTTTTAACGAACTTTGGTGCCAAAAATCATTCGGGTCCACGTGCTCACCGAGCATCGCTTATTATTGATAAAGCGCGAGATATAAGTTTATCCTGAGAAATAAACCGTGGATTGAAAATTCGATAAAATTTGGGTAATGAAATTTTAAACGTCGTGGTCTCCATTTCACGACATTTAATTTCTCTTTACGCTTTAATGCACTCATCGTACGTAAATCGGTATCGCATCTGGTATTTAATTTCTATTTACGTTTTACCGCATTTTTCACACGTAAATCCGCATATTCTCCGCGGTTTCGATCCCTGGTATCGAGGTTCCTCGAAATCATGAAATTCATTAAAATTCCCGCGATCTTAGTCTTTGGCATTTAATTTCTCTTTACTTTTTCCAAATTTTTCGCACGTAAATCCGCATCGGTGTAACCGCATATCCTTTGCGGTTTTGATCCCTGACATCGAGGTTCCTCGAAATCATGAAATTCATTGAAATTCCCGCGATCTTAGTCTTTGGCATTTAATTTCTCTTTACTTTTTCCAAATTTTTCGCACGTAAATCCGCATCGGTGTAACCGCATATCCTTTGCGGTTTTGATCCCTGACATCGAGGTTCCTCGAAATCATGAAATTCATTGAAATTCCCGCGATCTTAGTCTTTGGCATTTAATTTCCCTTTACGCTTTACCGAATTTTTCGCACGTAAATCCGCATCGGTGTAACTGCATATCCTCTACGGTTTCGATCCCCGGCATCGAGGTTCCTCGAAATCATGAAATTCATTGAAATTCCCGCGATCTTCGTCTTTGGCATTTAATTCCTCTTTACGTTTTACCGCATTTTTCGCACGTAAATCCGCATCGGTGTAACCGCATATCCTTTGCGGTTTTGATCCCTGACATCGAGGTTCCTCGAAATCATGAAATTCATTGAAATTCCCGCGATCTTAGTCTTTGGCATTTAATTTCTCTTTACGTTTTAACGCAATTGCGGGGGCGGCGGGGTCCGGAAGGGTATTCTAAGCGCGACTTGTTGCGCTTTATCCATTCGCCCCCTCGAGAGGAGTCCGGGCGTTATTCGGAGCAGGTGGACAGGCGAAAGGAGGCCCTCCTCTTCCCTCGGGACCCTGCCGCAATTTCCCGGGGGTGTCGACGGGAAGGGGCGCGTTAATTCCCGCGTTTAAGGGTGGATATCTCCCGTCTTAATTCCGGCCTTTTCACGCAAAATACCGGCCTAGGCCGGCGGTCGTTAGCGGGCTCTTAACACTCTTAACACCCTTAACGCCCTTAACGACTTCGCAACTTCGCAACGCCGTTGTACCGGGGATCCTTCCAGTTGTTTCGTCCTTTTTCTTTTTTTTTTTCTCTCACCTTCTTTTTCATGGCCCGCCCGTTTCGACGGATCGAACGGGAACGGCATTGAAAGTGCTCGTTAACCACCTGAGTTCGACCGGGAACGGTTTCGGGGAGGAGAGGGAACCTGGGGGAAACTGACCCGAGGACGAATCCTCGAGCCTTGGGGGGAAAGGTCCTGTATCCTTCCCGAAACCTGCATCGCGAGCAAGAAAATTCCACCGCGAGTCTGGGTCCGACGATTTGCGGCGATTTCCTGACCTACCTTCAGGAAATCCTCTTTTTAGAAAATATTCCTCGGAACCGTGGTCCTTTTTTCAAATCTTCACGATTGGGGATGTTAATTCAAAGATTTGAGGTCCGCAATTAAACCACCGGCACGTTTTATTATAAATACGTTTTTGGTCCTTGTATGGTTAAGAATGGAGAACCATTTATTTTGTACTCACTGTTAATTGCCATCTTTATTCTAAGTAATTTCGAAAGGTTTTAGTGAAAATAAGAAAATATTTCTTTGAGAACTAATTAAAAATCAATTCTGTTTAACTTTCGAGGGAAGTTAGTCATGAGATAAGGGCAAGACCTTGTCGGACAATTTTTTGCTGAGAGGGAAAACGGTTTATTTTTTAGGACATTTTTTTTTATCATCAAATGCTGGTTTTAGTGAAAATAAGAAAATATTTCTTTGAGAACTAATTAAAAGTCAATTCTGTTTAACTTTCGAGGGAAGTTAGTCATGAGATAAGGGCAAGACCTTGTCGGACAATTTTTTGCTGAGAGGGAAAACGGTTTATTTTTGAGGACATTTTTTTTTATCATCAAATGAGAGCTTTCGGGTTGATGGAAATGGCCGGATATATGTGCCCATAATTATGAAAGTGGTCTAAGTCAAAGTTAAAAAAAAATATGAGTATCAGTTATTTCACGCCATATTATTTCAAAGGAAATTAATTCAATATAATTTCGAAAGAAAAAATATATGACTTAGACCACTTTCATAATTATGGGCATGTATGGACTGACTCCTTTTCGGGGTCCTCCGAGGACCTCGACGGGGGGAACGTCGGGTGGAGGGCCGGGATGTCTTAGCCGGATGTTAATTGGAAAGTTGAGCGATGTGATTACCTCGTACCGAATGGCGCGGAGGAGGCGCGGGCTTAAAAAACGGAGGATGGGTCGTAATTATTGGAATAACTGTCGAGGACGGAAGCTGCAGGAGACTCGCATCTCGTCGTATCCACGTGGATATCCGGTCGTCGGTCGATTTGAGCCGTGATAGAGGACGAATCCATTCGGAATTGTTCTTTCCAATTGGTCGACCTGGACCGAAGTCTTCCGAGGTATATACCACTCGTGTCGTTACCTCGCAATTAATCGTGCTCGTTATTAATGATATCCCGTATCAGTTGCATTCGATATCGAGCTGAGAAAAATTGAACGCACTTCGTTGCAAGACCGATTTTCTAATTTCCATCGACGGAAATCTAGTTTGGAGTTTCCCACGTTGAAGAAACGGGGAAATTTCACGCTGGAAAAGCTCCACTTTAGAAATTGCGAGGAAAAAGAATTTCCTACGAATTAATTAGCTTCATGCTCAGGTCTCTTCGGTCGTGAATTGCGATATTATCCGAGGATGATAATGTTGCTCCTGGAGTGAAATTGCTCGTTTATAAGACCGCCGACTTTCGAGGATAACTTCTCGTGGCAGCAATTAAATCCCATCTCGTTATTTTATTTATCATTTCGGGGTACTCGGTCAGTACGGAATTCATACGTGTTTTATTGTGCCCCTTCAAGAAAGGAAATATATCGTACGCGTTTCATTGCACGCGATCAAAAGATAAATAAATAAATATGCATCGAATTCGAATTTGCGGGTTTTATTACATGTGGTTGGGAACGAGATTCGCGAACGGATGCAACCGGTGGATTGAAATTATTCCTTGATGGCGAATGTCTGAGAAGAAGGGCCCTTCGGTCTTTGCTCGATCCCCGGAGGGGAATAGTGCAACTCGCCGATGCAAGTCGATAAAACCGGATATTGAATTAACTCGTTATTCTCGGTGCGTCATTGGTTACGCTCGGCGAGTACCGCCGATAAATTCGGAATCATCGTCTGCGAGATTGTCGGGGTCTGCTCGTTAATATTTACGTTGGTTTATGCAACGACGGGGCGATTAAATATTTGTCGCACCCGCCGGGAAGACTAATTCCGTGTTGGCCTAGAAACGCGACTCTTAAGGCAGAAACGTCCTAAAATGACGGAAAGAAAGAAAAAAGAAGAAGAAAGTCCCCTCGGATCTCCCTACAGGAACGCGGTTGCGTTTCGAGCCAAATGCAATTGGTGCGAGATACGCGTGGCGTAGAGCGACGTCCACCCTGAGTTCTATTCGGCATGGATCCACTTTTTCAGGAGAGGAAGACCGTTTTGGAATTTTTTAACACTATAATTTTTAAAATGTCCGTACTGACATCTTTACACTTTTAAGACATCAAATGTATGGCTTATGTCCTCGTTGCGTATGAGTTTTGTCGATATTAATTAACAATTGTATTCTCTTTAGAGGACATTATACGGCAAGGAGTAAAAATTCAAACGATTGCCGTGCCGAAATCTTTACACTTTTAAGACATCAAATTTATGGCTTATGTCCTCGTTGCGTATGAGTTTTGTCGATATTCATTAACAATTGTATTCTCTTTAGAGGACATTATACGGCAAGGAGTAAAAATTCAAACGATTCGAAGAAAATCAAACAAAGTCTATTTTAGCTTTCGATGGGTTATTAGAGTTTCCCGAATTTCGGCGGAAATCGGGAAAATTGAGGAGGGACGGGAAAGCGGAGAAAGTGAATTTCGACGGGTGGGGAAATGCAATGAGAGGGGGGAAACCACCCCTGTAGGCCGAAAATCGAGCGATTTGGGATGGATTTCAGATCGCCAATCTCGGAACAGCTGGGGTGGGTGGTCGGAAAATTGGGCCGGAAAAGGGAACCCGAGTCTTTGCTTCGCCGTGCAA